ACAGGTGCATTCTTTAGGGGTTCAGAAAGTTGCGCGCGCCAGCCGTGCAATACAATAGTGCACGGCGGGGCAGGCACGTCTTGGAGGGAGGGGAGGGCGGGGACGGAAAGAAGGGGGGAGGAGAGCGGACGAGGACAAAAGAAGCCGCAGAGCCACGGCAAGGGCCGAGGCGGGCTGGCAGAAAACGCCCAGCAAAACCCAACACAATGTCCTGAAACTGCAAGGATTATTTCCTATGAGTTCCACGTGCTACAAATGGCAACGCAAACCAGGAGAGCACAGAGGCCCTCCCGGAATGGCCAGCAAGCCGGAAACCCAACGGCACTCACGCCCGCAGAGGAGATGCACACGACCCTATCAGCGCGCCACGAAAAGGCGAGAGAGGTAGAGCAGGAGGGAACAGAGGAGGAGGTGGAGGAGGAGAGAGCGGGGCGCACGTCTGCACGGCGGGCCTGTCTGGCAAGCTGGGGCTCGCCTGTCACCAGCCCGCCCGGGCCCCGCCGCAGGCGCCGCCCTGAAAGTGGGCAAGCACCTAAACCGGTACGCAACCTGCTAGCAATCGCACCTGGCCTGTCTGCTAAAGTGCGCGTGAGGCGGCGACGCGAAAGAGAGGGAGGAGGGCACGGCATGGGCCCGACTCCAGGACTATACATTGTGAGTTGCTTGTGAAATTACGTTGGCAGCTTGCCCAGGGACATCCTTTCGATGGGCCACTGTGAGGAACGTCGAGAAAATAGCCGTCGATGCCGTGGACGTCCGAGGAAAGCGCTCGCGTCACCAGAAAAAAATACCTCTGACATTCTTGACGGGGATGTGCGACGGAAGAAAGAGAGAAGGGGGTCTAGTGCGGTCTCAGCCAACACTGCCAGCCACCCGAGAAAAAACTGGAGACCAACCCAAAGTCAAGAATACTCGCCTTCGACACTGCCAACAAAACCTTACATGTACTCCCACACGGCCCGAAGACGCCTCCACGACGGCCAAGAGGGCCTCAAGAAAGCCCACGATGGCCGCAACACGGCTCAGTATGGTCTCAGATTGGCTAAAGACGCCCAAGAGGGCCTCAGGGCCCCATCCCCCCTCGCACTTCCCCGAACCCAACATCCAAAAGCGGGGCCAACCCCAATTATCATGTCACGGGACCGGGCGCACCCTGCTGTAAAAGGCCACAGATGAATTTCACAGGTGCACTCTCTAGGGGTTCAGAATGTTGCGCGCGCCAGCCGTGCAATAGTGCACGGCGCGGCGGGGCAGGCACGCCTTGGAGGGAGGGGAGGGCGGGGACGGAAAGAAGGGAGGAGGAGAGCGGACGAGGACAAAAGAAGCCGCAGAGCCACGGCAAGGGCCGAGACGGGCTGGCAGAAAACGCCCAGCAAAACCCAACACAATGTCCTGGAACTGCAAGGACTATTTCCTGTGAGTTCCACGTTCTATAAATGGCAACGCAAACCAGGAGAGCACAGAGGCCCTTCCGGAATGGCCAGCAAGCAGGAGGCCCAACGGCACTCACGCCCACAGAGGAGATGCACACGACCCTATCAGCGCGCCATCGAAAAGGCGAGAGAGGTAGAGCAGGAGGGAACAGAGGAGGTGGAGGAGGAGAGAGCGGGGAGCACGTCTGCACAGCGGGCCTATCTGGCGAGCTGGGGCTCGCCTGTCGCCAGCCCGCCCGGGCCCCGCCGCAGGCGCCGCCCTGAAAGTGGGCAAGTACCTAAACCAGTTCGCAACATGCTAGCAATCGCACCTGGCCTGTCTGCTGAAGTGCGCGTGAGGCGGCGACGCGAAAGAGAGGCGGGCACGGCATGCGCCCGACTCCAGGACTATACATTGTGAGTTGCTTGTGGGATTAGGTTGGCAGTTTGCCCAGGAACATCTTTTCGATGGGCCAATGTGAGGAACGTCGAGAAAATAGCCGTCGATGCCGCCGAAGTCCGAGGAAAACGCTCGCGTCACCAAAAAAAAAAAAAAACCTTTGACATTCTGGACGGGGTTGTGCGACGGAAGAAAAAAGAAGCAGGGGGAGGGCAAGGAAAGACTCCGCCACGACGTCGAGAAAGCTGGTCCGGTCCTTGCCCGCGACCCCGGCTACGACGCCGCCCCCCCGGCCGTCGACGGAGGGAAAGAGGAAACGACGCAACGTAAGTAAGTACAAAGCCAGGCGCCTCGACGGCGCATCGGCAGAACAAATGCTGCGCGCAGAAACGAGGGCAAAATCGTAACAAACCGATCGGCTGTGACATTCTGCCGGCTGCTGCTCTGAGAATGCGGGTGCGGAAAGTCGGGCACCAAACAATACACATCGCTGATTTTCCCCGCGCGGCGTGGCCACGCTCGACGACGACGACGACGACGACGACGACGACGACGACGACGACGACGACGACGACGACGACGACGACGACGACGACGACGACGACGACGACGACCGACGACGACGACGACGACGACGACGACGACGACGACGACGACGACGACGACGACGACGACGACGACGTCGACG